ACTTAAAATACCGAAATCAGTATTCATAGATCCAATCCTCTTCTACACAACTGTTTTTAGTCCAAAGTCCTAATTATTCTATTAATTCGCTTATGACGATTGAGTTTTGGACGGACAAAATCAAACCAATTATTATCTAGGCTTATGCAAACTATTTACAAATACTAAATCTATACCTTGTAATAATGTTGACATTATTTTTATATATATATTTTTTATAAGAAATGGGCTAATTGCACTCCTAAAGTAAAATAGGCCATTTATCGTTAAGAAGGAAAACTAATTTACAAATTGATTTAATAGACAAATTCACACTACATATGCCGCAAATACACATCTGAACCTTTCGAAAAATTCCAATATCTTAAGCGTAATGGATTATATCAATTTACCTCTCACTTATGGTTATCCCCACAGCTAATCTAGTAATCGGGGTAATAATGTACATACTATAAATGAATCAGCAAGGTTATGCTCCTGTGGGAAATGGTCCATCTACCACATGCCATGCAAGGTTATGCTCCTTTGAGATACACAATTTTTAGCGTTATACAAAAATTATACCTATAGGTTCCAGGCTCGATATTTGAGTCCCAGTAGCACCAAACTATAATTAATAATTATGTGTTTGTTTTATAATTTAAATTCATATTTTTAATAACTTAATTGTACAAATTATATATATATATATGCACCTATGGGTTCCGGGCTCGATATTTTGAGGCCCAGTGGCACCAAACTATCATTAATAATTATGTGTTTGTTTTATAATTTAAATTCATATTTTTTTTAATAACTTAATTGTACAAATTATTATATATATAGCTATGGGTTTCGAGCTCGATATTTTGAGGCCCAATGTCACCAAATTAACATTAGTAATTATGTGTGTTGATACAATGATTAACTTAATTGTACAAAGTTTGCATTTTCAACTACCAGTATAAGATACTTAAACAAAAGGAATTCTAAGCTAAAATACTACACATTACTACGCTACAAGGCTCTAAATTTTACTACACTAAAAAGGTCTACATTTTATTATGCTAAAAAGGTCTAAATTTTACTGCGCTAAAAAATAATTTAAACTAAACATAAACAACAAATAAATTTAATTGCAAATAAAACACAAAACGACATGAAAACACATATATATAAATCAGGATATTAACAGACAAATTTATATTCTTTTATAAAACACTAATATTAAATCCGGATAAATTTAACATACTAGTTTCGGAAAAAAAAAAAACACAAACTGAAATAGAACGCATACAAATCAAATAATATGCATTATTATAAAAGTTCAACTTAAAATAAACCGAAATACCTCGATTTAGAATTTTCGGAAAGCAAATAGATTGAAATTTTGACTCCGGAAGTATGAATCAACAATAATACGAAGCTCTACTCGAATATGGGACCTACGTTCTTCACCTTTTATGTGACTGGGGACCCAATTTTTTTTTAAAAATAGTGGGGTAGCGGGTATGGGAGTGGGGGACCAAGAAGAAGAAGATATAAAATATTGAGGAAGAAGAAGCAGAATGGTCGTCTTGAAGAAGACGGCTCGTTTTTTAAAAAAGGGGTATAGCGCCGGGTATTTGATCGATATACCTATTAGTGTCAGCTTTCTATGTATAGCGCCCAAATACTGGGCGCGATATATTAACGGCACAATTAACGTTAATGTATAGCGCCCAGTATTTGGGCGCTATATATAGAAATGTCATCTTTTTTTTACACCTATTAAGGTGCTATTTGTCCAAAAGAACCACATTTTGGTTCCGGACTCGGAAACAACCCAAGAACTCGCTCACTTTACTTGCAGTTTATAAAAGGAGCCTAAAATATAAAATTTTATACATGGACCTAAGAACTTTGAAATCAATTGGTCAAAAGTGCCTATGTAGGCTAGGATACGGGAAGATACTAGTGATCAACTTTAAATAGTTTAATTTACTGTGGGAGCAGTTGCGAATTTGCAGTTTTTCACTAATTTACAATATGCTACCTAAGAGTGACACTAAAGCCACAAACGAAGCCGCAATTATTGCGAAAGTCCATTTTTAGCATCTTTCCGACTCTAATGGAGTAGTAGATAAAATCTTTCAAATTCTTCGCTTTCACAAGATATACTACAACACTTTAACAAAAAATTACTTTGGGTTGCATATGTCCAGGGGAGAGTAGAAGGGACAAAGGATTACAGGAATAAAAGGTGAGATTACTCATCTCATGTTTGGTATATTTTTTATTTTGAGATTAACAATTCTGGGATTGTTTATAGCACAATTATGATATTATTTTTATACCATACAATATGTGGAAAAACAATTTCAAAATTACTAATCTCGAGATAAACAACAAAATGACAAGTTTGCCCTTCTCCAATGTTTTTCTCCCAAAGTCTTGATAAGAAAGACAAGTTTAAAAGTTAAAAATAAAACTTTATTCAATTTATGTAGTTTAAACCACACATATGTTTTATAATTATCCCCATATATCTAATTTTTAGTTCAATAAACTAAACATCTAGAAATAAAAATATATCTACTAAATAATATATGTTATTATTTAATCTCCATATTAATGAATTACCACTCAATTCTTAACTGACAAGAATTAGATGCTACAACAGGTTTAAACTTAAAATATCGACTTCTTAGTATTGTCAAAATAGTAAACAAAAGAGAGAAATTTTAAAAACAAACTTTGGGGTTAATTGCGACAGACTTGCATTGTAGATAAAAGTTTTGTACTATGGATGGTCGGTTGGCATCCTTGTAAGCGGGCCTATTGCGTGAGAAAGCAAGAACTAGCTAGTGGGTTCAAATACTGAAAAATTCAAGAGCCCTACAAAAAACTCACAGTAGTAATCAGATGTGCTCAGATCTCACCAGTAATTTCCTTTAATATAAGACATGTACGAGCTGGTGAAACAAAAAAAAAAGGTAACATATGACCAACTTTGAACCTGTTGTGCAATGCTTTTGGGACATGGCTATTTGAAACCATGTGCCTAGAAACAGATACTTATGATTTTCTTCTCCTAAGTCTTACCTTTAAGGAAAAAACATGACAATTGACAAGACATCTTCGCTAAAGGAGGGGAAGAAATAGAAAGGTTAGATAATTATGTTACGTACCTATACCATGTAGTCATGTAGTTGGAGGTCATACAACATTATATTACAACAAGTCAATTGCAACCCAACCAAAATATACTTTGACATAGAAGTATGCTTAACGTGATTATGATTTGATTTATCTCTACTACTAATATATGTGATGGAAGTTTTAAAATGGGAAAGAACTTTTACTGAGATTTTATCCTACTGATTACTGATTCAAACACCAGCTAACAACCTGAAGATCCCAGGTTCAAGCGCAATATGCTACATTTGACGAAAATCACACTTTGATGCCCTGCGACGTGCAAAGATAATTTTCTCTTTTGCCCTTCATGAGATGATATATAAATTATAACAACACAAATAGCTATGACTTGTTTAAATTATAAGTTTCAAAAATTATACTTTCTTATACTTTCATTTAATTAAATACCATCATATAAAATAGGACCGAAGGAGTATAAATTACGGTGGTGAGAGCAGATTTGGAAGCGTGTAATAGACATAGATTGTGAAAGGATAAGGGCCTGTTTGGCCATAAAAAAAAATCACTTTTTTCACATTTTTTTCGGAATTAGTGTTTGTAATGAAAAATTTTAAATTTCACATCGAAGTTGAATTTTAGAATTTTTCGGAATTTGAAAGACTTCAACAAGCTGTCTTTTAAAATTTTCACTTCAAATCACTCACAAAAATTCAAAAACAGCTCCAAATTATATTCATGTCCAAACACAACTCTAATTTTAAATACTATTTTCACTTTCCGAAATTTCACAATTGTTATGTCCAAACTAAGGGTGTTAAACGGGTAGGCAGGGCCGGTCCGGGTTGGGAAAAAATGAAACCGGCCGGGTTTCAATCTGGGCCGGTTACGGGTTAGGGCTTGCCGAGCTTAACGGGTCCGGGTCCATCCAGGTAAAAAATGAACCGTAAGGGTTACGGGTCCAAGGGGCCGAGCCGGGTTAGTTTTTTTTTTTTTTTTTTTTTTTTTTTTTTTTTTTTTTTTTTTTTTTTAAAAA